TTTTTTTTTGTGGTTAATGGGGAATCTTTTTGGGGGAGGGTAAGTCTTGTTTTGGTAAGGTAGCCATGACCAATCTGCAGCATTTTGTTAGGCAATGGCATCTTGAGTTAAGGCAAACTGACAAACTCTACAGATTGATGTTTAGGATGTTGGTTAGTTCGAAGTGGGGGACGTTGTGGGGCAATCTGGTTTTTGCCCATCCTCAATGTCCCCCCTGAGCTCACTTTTAAACTAGCATGCTTTCATGTGCTCCCAATTCTCATTGTCTGAAGGGCTAAAACTCCTTTTGCTTTTTTTTTTCTTTACATTTCTTGTAGTACCTGGTATCCTTCTCAGGTTATATGTCCAGTTCTTGTACAAGATACAGAGTGTATTGTACATCAGCAATGATAGAAGTAAGCATGATTAAAGGTTCCAGCCATTGTTAAGACGTGTTTACGCGCTAATAATCTCCATATGCTGTACAGCTAATTCCTTTTTCCCAATTCAAACAGTTGAAAGTTATGCAGAAACTTTACCCCTTTTCCCTGCCTGATTACAGTTGTTGGAGAAAATTCGCCTTTTGTTGTCTTTTTGTCAATCAAAAGGTTGCAAACACGCATGATAAAACTAAAGCTTTCCCACCAAATGTTGCCAAAGCGAGATCTATGATTCCCCATCTCCTCCCATCAGTTCTTCCCTCTGCTCCCATTATCATTGCACTCAAATTTCGTTGATAACCTTGTTTTACACTGGACCAAACAGGGTGTTTTAGCAAACAGTTTATCAGTTTAAAGGCTGCAATGTGAAGCTGACGGATAGCACTTACCGAAAAGTTTAAAAAGAATGTACCATCTTATCGATATGGTCTCAAATTGAGCAAAATGGAGTGACCATGCTCTTGTAATTTGGTGTTAAGCTTTGATCGAATTGAGTTGAGTTTCTGTATATTATTAAGGCCGCCTCCCAAGCCGAAAGGAAGAAGGAAAACATGGTGGTCGAGTTTCAAAAGGCGCCATTTAATATTGCCTTTTGAAGGAGTTGTAGTTTCAACAGAAAGTGCCAAAGTTGATAGGCAGAGCGAGGTGTCAGCTTTTACCTAAACAACAAGAAACGTCATTGTAATCACGCGATTCGGCCGAAAGTTTGCCCCCACCTTGACATCTCCATTCTTTTCTTTACAAGACTTGATGCTGCTAACATCTTTGTGTTTCAAATTTTGAATCCTTTAAAAAACAAAAAGAAAAAAAGGCAGATTTCTCCGCTCAAAAGTGATACTAAAATCTTCTCCAACGTACAGAATATTGAATTGGATAAAAGGAAAAGACAGGTACCGTTGCGTTCAGGCAGGTGAATGGGAAGGATGGAAGGAATTTCAAACGTTAGGTTGAGATCAAACAGAGTTAGTTCCATTCGAGAGACCTGGCATGTTAGAAAAGTGGTCCAGAGTTTGTATAGGTCAATTCTTGTTGGGTTCATTCCATTAAAAACCTGGATGACTTGTTGGCTGAAGACAGGTTTTTGGGGAAATGCCCCTTTGTTCTTTTCTCTAGGTTCTTCAGGACGGGTTTTTTGGCGGTCGTGCTGTCTGGATTTGAAATGTATGATCTGGCTTTCCCCATTTCAACAACATCACCACCATTTTTTGCATTTCGGGTTTTATCAGCATCTCTTTTCAGTGGTTGATTCCAAAGTTGTCCAATTGCAGGACCAGCCTAGCTTTTGCCGCACCTGCCTGGATCAAACAAATTATTATTCCCCTATTTCTTGCTTGCATTGCTTTTGTTCTTGGCGTTGGCTTAGGCTAAAAGGCAAACTAACAAGCTTCTTAGAAGCATACAACGTGGGCTTAACCTTGTAACAATTTGATTCTCTATTATTGATCCAATCACATGATGTTAAATTTTTTTAGTAGTAATTGATTTAAATTTTTATATAAATTTTAATAATTATATTCATATTTAATGTAAAATAAAAGTATTATAATTGTATTTATTTAAATTTTTTATTAATCAAGATTTTACTAACACAATATGAAAAGTCTACATCGAATTGATACAAATTTTTTGATATCAATTATAATAACAACTTGGATTTAGGCATCGTTAATTTAATAACTTTTCATGTACTATATACAAATATTTTGAATATATATTGAATACGAGATGAAATAAAATGATTTGACAAAAAGCATATAAACGTTTAATATATTGATTGATTTATAATTTTTTTTACAGAAAGGATAAAATTTAAATTTTTTTTATTTTAATTAAAAAAACCTGTTTAACAAAATGAAAATATCAGCAGACGGAAAATGAATCTGCTTTGACAGAACTACGGCGATGCTTGGGCTTATTCAATGATGGAAACTAAATGCCTGTCGGAAAATAAAAACATAATTGAGATTGAACAATGGCGGTCCGTGATTTTCTCTGAACTGATTCATCTTGTTTTTTTTTTTTTAATTAGTTTTTGGGGTTTGAAGTTGTACGGTGAATCACTGTTTACTCCCATAAAGAGATTCCTAGTTCGTGAAACTCTGCCGGAGAAAGTACTTTTTGGGATAAGGACTGCGAGGATAGATAGCTCCATGGGGAATGCAACTCTTCCTTTGATATAATTTTTTTATAGTTTTTCTACCGTCTGAGATAGATTCGAAGGATTGGAGTTGGCATCATCATTGCCATCATCATCACATCGACACTGACATCCAACGCGATTGAATACAGTTCCAAAAGAAACCAAACTCTTTTCAATAACCTCACATTCTCCCCCTTTTTGGAAATTGAATAATTAATTTCATAAAATGATTTTCCAATGACATTATTGATGTATTTTTATTAATACTAATCAATTAACGAGTAAATCTCATATCTTTTTTGTTAATTACTTGATTAACTCTAATTAACCAATCCGAGTGCAATGCTGATTCTAATATTTTTTGATAATTTGTATTTTACAACAATAAAGGTAATATTACACTATTAGAGTGAAGTATTAGTAAATTTCGAAAAAATAACTTTTGAATTATGAATTATGAATTTTACAAGAAAAATAAAGAGATATGTATATACTTAAATTTCGTAAACTAATGATATTGTATTTTAGTGATTTAATTTATAATTAGTATAATTACGATAGTTATGATAATAATTATAATATTTTATGTTTAATGGATGATTGATATTATGATGTAATCCCTGCTAGTATAGTTTAGTTAGTAGAGATATATGAATGTTCATTACACAAATAATTATGCAAAATAAACAGTATAAAGTTGGGTTTCGATGCAAAAGAAAACAAACAAATCATTATCATGAATGAATGGGGCTCGAGAGTAATAACCA